TCTGCACAGTTCCCTGGAGTTGAACCCGTGACCTGCACGATAGCCAGTGGTAAGTAGGTCGCCGTAGGTTGTAGGCTGTAGGGAGATTCGAATTGTAAACCTGTAAGGTAGGACTCCAAGTAGAGTCCAAAGGCCTAGCTTTAGTCCTTCTAGAAGTTCGGCAAGTGGTCAAGTGGTGAGTCTAAGGTAGGCTCACGTTTTTAGACGAAGACAAGTGGCAAGGTCAACAGGTAGGACCTCAGTGCAACTGCACTGAGTCGACGGTACGACTGCCTACAGTCAGCAGAAGGGTCTAGAGAGTCCCAGTCCAGTCTAGCAAGTACCACAGGGGGACTGTGAGCACCAAGGGCCGATGGCAAAGGGCAGACCAACGAATTTCTGAAGTATAAATCAAGAGGCAGCGCCCAGCCATTCATTCATTCCTGCRTGAGCCATGCGGAAGSGCTGCCACAGCGACTTGTGYAAGGAGGTCTGCAGATGAGYCSRGAGGACGCAGTGGGCAAGAGAGGAGGAGTTAGCATAGCGATAGGTTAGAGGCAGCCATAGCTGCCATAGCTATAGTTAGTAGTGAGTGTGTGAGTGTGCTCGAGTGTTAGAGTAATGCGTGTGGGATATTCAGGGTGATCCAGTGTATGTGAACAGTGAGATGTTTGTGCGCTGAGGTCGCCATAGCCAATTGGGAGTGAACTCGTATCTGAAAACGATATCTCTGAGTTTTGAGTGGGCGCATGTCGCCAGTGTGCTGTGTTACTGTTTACATGTGTGAAAAGTGTGTTTGAAAACGAGTCTGATTGCATTGGTATCAGAGCTGGTACCCGCTATTCCATGCGCGTCGTCGTAAGCAGGGCCTGATGCGCCATAGCCGAGGTGGCAGCCGAGGGCGATAGTCCGCCATAGCGGACCTGAGGTTGAAGAAGCCGCCGCGCACCTGCAAGAAGACACGACGAAGAAGAAGACCGGGACTGAGAGAGAGAGAGAGAGAGAGAGAGAGAGAGAGAGAGAGAGAGAAAGAGAGAAAGACAGAGAGAGAGAGAGAGAGAAAGAGATGAGAGATACAAGGTTGGGTTACACGTACCTGCTGCGCTGAAGATACTGCTACGGTGAGAGGGAGAGAGAGAGAGAGAGAGAGAGAGAGATGAGCGATACAAGATTGACTGTTAAGTACCTGTGAAGTTGCCGCGCAGTACACTGAGAAGAAAGACAGCGGCCATAGCCGCAGAGCCGGTACCACGGAGTGACGAAGTAGGAGGGAGAAGGACAGAGGGGGAGAGATCGAGAAGGGAGAGGAAGCGGCTATAGCTAAGAGGTGAAGAGGAGGCCGACAAAAAAAAAAAAGAAAAAAAAAAAAGAAAGAGAAAGAAGAAGACAGCGGGAGAGAGGAGGCGAGGGAGGTAAGGAAGAAGAAGGGGATTGGC